TAAGCAGAAAAGGAAGACTGGCAAGTAATATCAGAGTATAGAGAGCAACTGCATACCAAAGGAAAGAGAATTTTGTAAATGGTTTAGGTACATGTAATGCAGAAAATTAACAATATTTGCAGGCTTCTGGTGTTCAGAGCCATAGGACAGGACTCTAGAAGGAAAATAATATATTTTAAAAATTGATGATAACAGCATTATTCACAGTAGCCAAAAGGTATGAGCAACCCAAAAGTCTGTCAGGTAATGAATGGATTAACAAAGTGTTGTGTATACACATGGTGGAATATTATTCAGCTTTAAAAAAGGAGGAAATTCTGAAACATGCTACACATGGGTGAACCTTGAGGACATTATGTTAAGTGACATAAGTCAGTCACAAAGAGACAACTATTTTGTGATTCCCTCTATATGAGGTACCTAGAATAGTCAAAGTCATAGAGATAGAAAGTAAATGGTGGTTGCCAGGGACCAGGGGGAAGTGAGGATGGGAGTTGTATAATTGGTACCATTGAGTTTTGCAAGATGAGAGGAGTTTGGAGACTGGTTGCACAACAGCATGAATGTAATTAACACTAGTGAACTTTACACTTTGATGCAAATGAGAAGTAATAACTTAGTGACACAGGGTCCTTGAAAGGCAGTGAGGAAGAAATAGGCAGAAAATTGTAGCTGGTCAACTGTTGGGCCAGAGCATTTGATGTGGTAAGAAGCTTGATGACAAGGACATTGGAAGAGGAGGACAGTATAGAAGGATGGGGAAATCAGAGCAGGTGTTTTAAAAATCATTTGGCCCATGGTAAAAGGTTAGTAGTGAGTTTGCTAGTGAACATGCAGATACAAAGCTGTGGGTTCATTAAAAACTTAGAAGGGAAGAACCAACAAAACTTAAATATTGGTTATGGGAGCAAAGAAGAAATCAAGTTACTTAAATGTCATCAGCCTATGGACCTAGGAATATGGTGATTCAGTTAACGTTGAAAGGGAAATTTGTTAGGGTGGATAGAATATTTAGTGTTGATATTTTACATTATTTCTGAGTAATTTTTACATTATTTCTGAGTAACACATTATTTCTGAGTAAATAAAGGTGATCCAGAGAATGGATAATGAAATGTTCAGTGACCAGAGTTTGAAAGGTCAGGCGTTGCAGTCAAGCTACCCACATAGGCTCACCTGTGGACTCGTTTCCACTGAGCTCAGTCAAGTAGTTTGTCTGCCTTGCTCTCTGAGACCTCTGTAAGAGGAGTTGGGGTAAGTAGTGACCAAAAGGTTTTCTTCAGGAAATGAGATGAAAATGTGGAAGAGATATCCTGGTAGCCCACACTCCCTTGGGATAGGTGATTCGTTAAGCAACAAGTAAAGGAGGCATCAGAATCAAGGAGACACTGATAAGAGGATCCAGATTTCGGATTTATCTTAAAATTGAAGTAGATTAAACTATGCCTACATGTCCAGGACAGTAATATGTCCAAAGCTACTGATCTCATTCTTGCTTTCATCTGATCTCTCCTGATGTTTTTAGGACCATGGAATTTCTGAAACACAATTATGTAATCATTCAATTTGAAATGCCCAATTGGAGGAAGAAGAAAGAATAAACCTTGGCAACATCCTTCCTTGATACTCCTTCTCTGTCATATTTCTCTTAAACACACACACATACTTAGCACTCATTTTTAAATTGTGACCCACCATCATTCCAACACTGATAATATCTCATTTATTCATGATGGAAGGCTAATTAATATGTCCTGTTCTCAAGGATTCAAGAATTACCAGAAGGATTTTGAGCTCTATTTGCCTTGGATATTTGCCTCCTGTTGCTCAAATTTGCTCAGAAGGGAAAGGAACAGAGGAGGTGGTCTGTTTCTTGAAGCTCAAATGCCATAGCAGAATACTTGTAGAGACATCTTGATTCTATTAGAATTTTCAGGCCAAAGGGCAGGTTCAACTGCTCTGGCAGTTTAAAGCACCAGTTTAAAATAGACGACTTTAATGACTTAAAGTCGGATTTCTGCTACTGCCTACTCATTATGCAGTAATATGGCATGTTAGTCATGCAGTAGGTGGGTAACTAATTTATCACTCTGAAAGGTTCTGTGTCCACATTTTCAATTTTTTTTTTAACTGAGGAAGAGACAGAACAAGGAGAGTAATTTGGCAGGACAAGCATTGTGGTACTCACTCATTTTGCTCTGGGCTTGTGATATATGTATATTACCTTTCATATTTTATGTGCTTGGATTACTCCCTCGGGGCCCATGGGAATAGAAGTCAGAATGTGCTCCCCTAATAAGTCTTCCTTTTCTGTGGATAGCCTTTAGTTAGTAAAACTCTTGAAGTCAAGTGTTAATCCCCATCAAGGTTCATTTTCTTTAAGAAAGCCATAATAGAATTAGAATAGGTAACTTCCAGATCTCAAGCAATTGACTCTGATTAAAATGAAATGATTTCTAGTATTTTTACTTTCTTCTAATAGTTTTCTGTATCTTTCAGTTCTTTTCAATGAATATATTGTACTTTTATCAGAAAAAAATTATTTTAAAGAAGCAGTTATATTGGTAGCTACTAAAATAAGATTCTTTTTACAGTTTTTTTTTTCACTGAACTCTATTCCCTCTGAAAAGCAGGGTCTTCTTAACAGAATTTTTTGGTTTAGATACTTTTGAGTGCTCGCTGTAAACTTAACCACATAAGTTCAACTATACCGTGTGGTCTTTCTATCAGATGTATTAAAGGAATGACAATTTTTTTATTCCCAAAAAGTCAGATGGCTGTTACTGCTTATTAGCTTTAATATTCTTGCCTATCCTCCAAGTTTTTTTCCAAGAGTTTGTTCCCCCCTTTAGTATCCATTTCAATTTACCAAAATTGTGAATAAGAGAACAATACTATCTCTGTCCCTTTGTAAAAACAAAGAAAAACCTAAAAGCTAATATACCCATAAGAGATACTGAAGTTACCCAGTGTTTATATGATTGTATGAGCAATACATAAAACATTTTATTCTCTTGATTACAAATTGCCCCTTTTAAGCACATACATATGTAGAAGTAAGTATCAAGAGTATACTTTTAAAGCTGAAAGGATAATGCCATGCTAATCTGTGAGTGGGTTTTTAGAGAGCAAGAGCCCCTGCACTTGGGAGAGAAAGTTTGATTCTGTGCACTTAATAGTATATTATCAATGCTCAATAAAAAAATGTAGCATCAATGACATAACATATTTTGAATTGTATAAAGTAAAAAAACGTCAAATTGTATATTATGTGTGTATATATATATGAATCAGTGGCTCAGACTCTAGTGCCACATCCTTTATTTTAAAATTTAGAATCTGACTTGTCACCTGTTATATTGCAGTTTCAGAATGTGACATTTTACCCCAGAGATTAACTACCTCACTAGCTGGCCAAGCATATCATTTATAAAAGAATTTGGAATTCAGGGAAGGTGCTTCAATATAGAGTAATTTTTACTATTTCATATTATGATATTTCCTAAAACATAGAATGGAACTCAGATCTTACCACTTTTGTATCTTGCATTCAGCAAAGGTGCCAATTACTGGGTCTAACTGGATAGACTTATTTGTCATCTTTTATTTGCCTGCTGCTAAATGTGTAATTCTGACTACTCGTGCACAGAAATGCTGCACCCTTATTGAGAAAGCACTTTTCTCATTCCAGCCTTGTCAGTCTTTGAGCTTCCCAAAAGGGAACAGATGACTGCAATCAGCAGGAAACTGCATAGTGAGACCATCTTGAACTCCTTCACCTTTAGGCTCATTTCACCACTTAACATTTTTTTTTAAGTGGTCAGTGGATATATTTAGACTATCTTTATCCCTTTGGTGTTGACTGGAGCTTCATGGGCTAAACCATCTGCCCTTTCTTAGAAGTATATAGAGTGCAGGGACAGTGGGAAGTTTTACTGGGGTCATTGAGAATCTTCTTCCCTTCCAGCAGCCACACTGGATAAACAAATCTTCATTTCTGTGATGTAAACTGATCTGTACCCTCCATCTGTTAGGGCTGCATGTTCAGAGGTCCCCAGATCTACTCACCCAGGATACAGAAAATCTCTTTCAGAATATTCAAAAGATGGTCTTTCAGCTAGTGGCTAAACTAAAACTCTTCCATATGAATACTCTTGGAGCATAATTATCTTAACAAAAGACAGAAGCAAGGTTAAACTTGGGCAGTGCATTCTCAGATTCAGCATTTCCTCAGGTCAAAAGCTCAGGCCACTTACAAAGTTCCTATAAATCAAATCTGTCTTCTTACAGATGATTTACATAAATGATGAGCTATTAAGGAATGAAATTTGGACTAGAGATTAATTGTTCACCAACTTCATTCTGAATATTTGTAAATTTCTTATGTTCACCCCCTCCTAAATCCCACCCTCTTTTCTTTCTGGATATGAACCAAAAAGTAGCTAAACCACAAGGAATCTGTAAAGTTTAAGTTGTTTAAACTGTGCGGATCATTGCGGAACAAAGTCATGACAGGGAACCTACGTGCACTGATGAGAGAAAGAGAATTACAGTTCTTCAGAATACCCCAGGATCATACGGCTGGTTTCCTAAACCCTGTTTACCAACATTTACAATTTCTTATGCATACTGTCCAAATAATGCCTCAGTTTTCCTGGAAGCTGCAGAATGCTATCAAAAGAATGAGTGAAATGGTTAAAGCATGTAGGTGATGGAAACATTCTTTAAAAAGTCATTGACTTAGTTCACTTTTCTAACTATATCTAGGAGCTCTTTATTAAGATGTCAGTAAAACAACATGATTAAGACATCTGGAGTCAAAAACCTGAATGGGATTCTTTGCTGCACCATTCATTCAAGTGTGAACTTGGACAGGCTGTCTGAACTCTCTACACTTGAGTTTTGTCACCCACAAGATGGGATGGGGTGACAAACAACAGCAACTTAAAGGACTGTTGTGAGGATTCAGTGAAAGGCTTGCAATTTTCTTTCCTTTGCAGGCAAGAAGCTCTACTGGCTGCCATTAGTGAAAAAGATGCCAATATAGCTCTTTTGGAGCTTTCATCCTCTAAGAAAAAGACCCAAGAGGAAGTGGCCGCACTTAAGCGGGAGAAGGATCGCCTGGTGCAGCAGCTCAAGCAGCAGGTAAAACACGGTCTGTGGGGAGGGCCAGTGCGGCCCACCTTCACCCTTCTCAACCACCTTTGCCAGCTTGAATTGTTAGTTCTCCCGTCCTATTAGACATCCAGTCTTCCTATCCAGTTACATTTTGTAAGCAGAGCATTCATCTCCTTCACCTGTGTCTGGCTATGTGTAGGAGATGCAGAGTGTTCTTGGTGAGAGGACTGGTTAGGCCTTCTATGAGAACATTTTCTCACTTTATGCAGTTGCTGGATGAAATCAGTGAAATTCAACCCATTTGAAATGAAAAAGCCTTATTTTTTACATCCAGCCAGATTCTTGCTGCAGAAAGCACTAAGTGTATCTTTATTTAAATAACTTCCCGTTATTCAGGGCTGGTTTAGCTCTAAAGGTAAGAGGAAAATTTTATACTTTTCTTTCCCAACTTAAACTCTTCCCAAATTTAATGCTTACTATTTATGTTAGGTCTTTCATCTATAAACATACAAGCTAAAAACTTCCTCTTTGATGGTAGTTGCACAACAATGTAAGTGTCCTTAACAGACAGAACTTTTATTAGGTGAAAGTCAGGAAATTAAATAATCAATCAGCTTAAGCCTTACAAAGGAGTGGCTAAAGAATCCCACTATCTTTACACCTAACTGTGCCCTGAATACTCTGTGCAGATGAGACTGTATAAGGAGAAAGTATAGTTCTTGGGAGTTCTTCCGTATAGTTTTTCTGTCTCCCTCCATGTAAAGTTTCACATTCTTGCCCTCTCAAAATGTGTCTGGGATGCTGAGAGCAAGAAGGAATAGGGACTTGCCAAAGATATTTGATTCTTTAATTTCTCTAAGTGTGTATATATACTAACTTTTGGATAAGCTAAAGGCCTTTTGGAAAGGATATGGCATCAATGTTGTTTTAATTTAAAGCTTCTAGTCCTTGAATTGCTGGAATGTGCTTCAATCCAAAGCCCACTTCCTAACAAGGAAGCCTTCGGCATTGACCAGGCTTTCCAGCAAGTGGAGCTGCCCCTGCCTGATGGGTTCTTGGCATTCATGTGTGATTCCTGTTGTCAGAAAGTTGTGAAGCAACAAGGGATTTCAGACTTTGGGGTCACCCTCTAAGCTGGTCCCAATTTACTTACCCTGCCCCAGGGTAACTTGTCTTCTCTATTCATTCATGGCAAAGCAGTAGAAGAAGGAGCCAGGGCCAGTGAAAAAAATTAAAGCTAGAGTTGTCTAACAAACTCCAGATGTGCTGTGGTGAGGCCAGCCAGTGTGTCCAGATTATAAGTCATGAGGAGGCCCTTGCTGTGATTGTCAAGCACCCACACTGGATTCAGTGTAAACTCCGATGGGACCCTGGGAAGCATTAATACAGTCTCTTTGGCCACAGCAGCTGTCATGAGATGGCCTTTCAGCATTATTCTCTTCTCTTCACCTCAAGAATTTTACAGCCTCCATGTTGCATTGGCTGTTAGCGGGCAGCCCGGCCTTGCCCCAGTGTGCTCTTACAGAGGCATGACGGGCAGGTTGTGCTTTTCAGCACACGCTTTGTGGGTTTTTCTGTTTTTAAAAATCAGTATAACATTATAAGAGTAAAGTCTACAAACTTAAGCTAGACAACAGTCTTATTTAAAACTATCTTTTTTGTAATCATCTGCATTGGGATTAAATGTCAGATAATACATTCTTCAATTCCAACTTTTTTCTAAGTTTGAGGGATATAAAGACACAATACTGCCTTAAAGAAGCTCACAGTCTAGTGCCTAAAATACTAGTTGTTCTAAATTGTTGACAAAACCATTCTGTAGAAGGTAGTACCTGGCCTTACCATCTTTTCCTGCTGAAAGCCTCAGCAAATCAGCCCTGCGGTGAGGTGTTTGCCGGTTCATTTCAGATTCATTGAATGTGTATTAATAGAACTGTATTAATAGATACTGTATTAATAGAACACAAGTGCCTTTTCTTTCTAGTAACAGCCTGACAGAGAGCTAATCAGGCGTAGGTTTTGGACAGATTACTTCTCTGAAATTCATATTCCTCATCTATAAAATTTAGATAACATTACCTACTTTATAGGGTTGCTGTGAAATTAAGTAATAGGGCAAACCTAAACCACTTCGGTCCCCTCCGTGACCCACCTTCAAAATCCCGGTTCCTCGGTGTGCACTGTGTCGGGTGGGGTGTGTTACTGGGGCCCAAGGGCTGTCAGGAATGAATACTCTCATTTCTCTAATGACTATTTGATTTTCAGAATTATACAACTAGCACACTGAGCTGTCCTCCTCTAATGAATGGATTTCTCAGAGCAGTTAGGAGAATGAGAGTGGTACTTTATATCCTCCTTTTTTTCTACCTGTTTCTTTAATAATACAACTATAACAGAGCATTTTTCAGCAATAATTATAATACGCCTTTCTTAAGTCTTACATTTTCATCATTGAAGAACATCATTTAAATGCTCTTCAGAGAGTAGCCAGTCAACATAGTCATTTCAAGGTCCTCTGGGTTCAAAACTATTGTTCTTAAGAAATATTTAGCTGACTACTGACTTGAGATTTAGACTGCATTAATTTAGTTGCTTTTCAGAATTAGTTGCTTTTTGGAGAAAACAAAAATAAAAAATCATTATGCCTTTTAAGAATAATTTGAAATAGTAGCTTCTAAAATACTAATTTTTCACAGTCAAAAATTTCCCTGGAAAATCACACTTGATAATGCTACTCACTATATGCTTTTCAACTATATGCTCTACTTTCTGTAATAAGATAATGCTAAATTCAGTCTAAGTGGATAAGTAGACAAATCAATTCACTCATTATGAGAAGATCAAAATTTTGATTGGTTCCTTCTTTTTTTTAATCAGTAACTTCTGAGTTATATCACATACAATAGTTTAGGCTTTAACCTTTTTACTCCAATATTTCTCATATTCATAGCTTACTATGAAAATCATTGTCAGCATTAAGCCTGTGTTTCTTTATACTTTCTGTTTTTCCATCCTCCATAACCTGAACTGTTCTCAATTGAAAGATATTGACAATGATCAGGAAATCTACTCTGTAGTGATACTGACATCAGAGATTCAGTTGAGTTTTCATAAAGTCACACAGCCTGACATTTACATATTCACACTTACGTATGCTATTCAGTTATCTATAATGTTGAGTATTCATTTTCTCCTTTAGTCATCATTTTCTAACAAGATCTCCTGTAAGGAGAACAGGTTATATTAATAGTGTACTTGAATTTCACAGAAAGTAAAATCAAGCTGCTAGTCAGCTAACCACACAAATCAGTTACAGGTGTCAAAGGTTTATAAGAGGAATAGATCTCAACTTTAGCATAGATTTTAGCCTACACTGCCATATGGTTCATAACTGGAACTCTGGGCTTACTGATGTAACACTCAGCAAGCCTTAGCCCCCCACTGTCCAGGAACCTCCTCTTCCCTGACCCACACCCTTCAGTTCACAGATCCTTTCTGACTCTCCAGCAGTATTCCCCAGTCATTCCTTAGTGCACACTGTTTCTAGGCTCTCTCCTGGGTGCTGGTGGTAGAAGGGTGAGCAGACAAACATGACTCACTTGGATTTCCCTTTATGGCAATTTCAACTACTTCGTCCAGCTTTTCTAGATATTTTGTCACATAAGTATTTTCAGGTCACCTCATGTGGCAAAGTTGTATTTCTTTCATATTATTCAAGAAAACTGAGCAAAACATTTTATCAGTAATTTGTCACACAATCTCCAATTTCTCAATCTGTCTCCTTTTACAAGCTCTAAACTAATTTTAATTTATCTTTATTTCATATTTTCTGAACAAATTGTCAGTTTCCCATATGCATAAAGAAGAACTACAAATGGGTTAAGGATAGCTAAGTTAACTACATAGGGCTGAGAATCATAAATAATGCATATGTACTTGTTTCGTGGATATAGAAAAATCTTGGATGAGTTGCTATGTGTTCATGCTTCATTTCCTCCAACTATAAAATGAGGATTATCGCTCTCCTGTTCCTAGTAGGGAAGTCTGAAGATCAGTCCGTCAGTACCTTTAAAGACAAGCAAGTCTCCTAGAGAAGAGTAGTGTGTAAGTGCAGAGCCGTGTGTAATGGTAAGACATCCTGGCACCCGTTCTGCGGAAAGGCATCTGTCACTTGGTGGAGACACTGATGCCAGAGTCATCTGCACAGCCTTGCTTGCCATTCCTGGTTTCCCTTTTCCCAGCTGAACATCACCCATCTGTTCACACTCTTCTGCTTGTCCCTGGTCTGCTTCCTTGCAGTTACACCCACGTGGCCTGGTTGGCATGGGAGTAGGGGCATCCTGTGCTCTTCTAGCCAAGCATTTTCTGTTAACTTGTGTGGATTTTATTTGTTTAACCCTCACAAGACCACTTTATCTCCCTAAACTCTAGGTTCTTGTTGGAAAGGGAGTACTTAACTGTTCCCCCAGTATTTGCAACAGGTATGAGTGTGAAAAAATACCTGAATTAAGTGAGTAATACTTTTTCTTTTATGAAGTTCTACCCACTCTCTAACAGTTTTGTAATCCCTTGCAAGGAGCTGCATATGACACATAGGATATTGTAATGTTTTACTCTTACTTATTATTCATCAGGTAGAGCTAAGGACTCTGACAACCACTGTGAGGCCCAGGAACCTGGCCTGGGTTTTCTATGACAGTGCATTCTCACTCAGACACACTCCTTCCTCCATAAACCCACGCCTGTATGTTCTTTCAGACTATCATTATAATGATAGTGTTCAATGTTCTGTCCACCCATCTACTCAAAAACAGTTTATCCTGTGGTATGAACTTGTTCTCTTTTGCTTCCTTTATTTTGGGTTATTTTACTCCCTTGTTACTAGCGAATGGAAAGTGTGTATAGGTTAATGCCTTTCTTTTTTTGACTTTAGACCTTCTTTCTCATGTTATGGGGCTGAGCATTGGCTCCCTTTAAACAAAAATATATCATCTGTCTCCTCCTCCTGGCATTGAAGGCTACTACTG